TTGGCAATGAATCTACCAGGACCTGGGCATTTCTTAGCTGGTAGTTTTTTGTAATTACTTCTTCAATGTTGTTGACTTATACTGGATTATTCTGGGTTTTAAAAAAAAATATTTTTGGTTCAATTTGGTAGTTCATATGTATCTAAGAATCTATCCATTTCTTTCGAATTTTCTATTTTCTCAGAGTACAGTTTCTTAAAGTTGTTACCAATTAGCTTCTAGATTTTGGCGGAATCTATTGTGATTTCATTTTACATTTCCAATTGCATGATTTTGGGTCTTTTCTTTCCTGGCTTTGGCAAGATTCATTAAGGGGTTATCTATTTTGTTTATTCTTTCAAAGAACCAAGTCTTTGATTTGTTGATTCTTTGTAATTTTTAGCCTCAGTGTCACTAATTCCTGCTCTGGTCTTTATTATTTTATTCCTTGTACTGGCTTTGGATTTGCATTGTTCTCATTTTTCTAGGGCCTTGAGTGCATCATTAGGTTAATTATCTGAATATGCTCTGTTTTTCTGCTGTTGGCTTTCACAGCTATAAACTTCCCTCTTAGGACTGCTTTCATTGTGTCACATAAGGTCCATTATGTCATACTGGCATTATTGTTTGGTTACAGGAACTAATTTCTTCCTTAATTTCACTTGTCACCCATTGATTATTCAGGAGGGTATTATTGAATTTCCCTCTGTTTGCATAGTTTCTGTGGTTTCTTTTGCCATTGATGCCTAGTTTCATTGCACTAGGATCTGATAATATGCATGGGATATTTTTTGCATTTATTTAAGCATGCTTTATAGGCTAGTTTGTGGCCTATTTTGGAGAAAGTCCTACATCCTGCTGAGATGAATGTTTTTTCTGTTGTTGGGTGGTTGGAACACTCTATAGATAACCACTAGGTCCATTTGTTTGATGGTTTGGTTCAATGCTGATATTTCTCTGTTGGTTTCTTTGTCTAGTTGATCTGTCCTTTTTTTTTTTTTGGTACCGGGGATCGAACTTGGGACCTTGCGCTTGTGAGGCAGGCGTCGGAACCACTGAGCTAAATTCCCGGCCCTAATCTGTCCGTTTTTGACAGTAGGGTGTTGAGGTTCCCCCCTTATAATTGTACTGGTGTTTATCTGATTTTTTCATGTCCATGAGTGCTTGTTTTATGAAGTTGAGTGTGCCAATATTTGTGTATATGTTTATAATTGTTGTCTTGTTCTTTTGAATTGTTCTTTTAACCAGTACGTAGTGACCTTCTTTGCCTCTTCTGATCAGTTTTGGCTTGAAATCCACTTTGTCTGAAATTAGGACAATAACTCCTGCTTTTTCCTGGGTTCCCATTGTATGAATATTGTTTTCCATCCTTCAATTTTTAATCTGTGAATTTCCTTTTAATTAGATGTTTTTGTTGGATTTATTTGATTGTTTGTTTGAGATAGGATCTTGCTATGTAGTTCATGCTGGCCATGAACTCATTATGTAGCCCAGGTTGGCCTAGAACTCATGGCAATCCTCCTGCCTCAACCTCCTGAATATAAATGTGTTTCTTGTATACAGCATATCATTGTTTGTTTGTTTTTTTCTTGATCCATTCTATCAATCTGTATCTTTTTTTTTTTTTTTTTGGTACCAGGGATCAAACTTGGGTCCTTGTGCTTGCGCAGCAGGCGGCGAAACCACTGAGCTAAATCCCTGCCTCAATCTGTATCTTTTGACTGGGGAATTGAGACCATTCACATTGAGAGTTATTACTGAAAGCTATTGACATATTCCTGTCATTGCATTCTTTTCCTGTTGCCGATTTCCTTATTTTTTCCCTTTTGCTTAGCTGCTCATTCCTGCAGATGTAGTCTTTTGTTTTTTTGGTACGGGGGATTGAACTCAGGACCTTGTGCTTCCAAAGCAGGTGAGGTGCCATTGAGCTAAATTCCCGGCCCTCTTCATTCTTTTGACTTATTGGCATTGCTGTCTTCACTGTCTCTTTCTAGGATATCCTTGAGAATTTTTTGTAATATTGGTTTGGTAGTCATGAATTTCTTGAAATGCTCCTTGTCGTGGAAATACCTTATTTCTCCATCAATTGTGAAGGAAAGTTTTACAGGATACATAAGTCAGGGTTGGAAATTGTTACCTTTTATATCTTGAAACACTTCACTCCAAGCCCTCTTGGCCTTTAAAGTTTGTGTTGAGAAGTCTGCTATAATTGTAATAGGGTTACCTTCATATGTGATTCATTACTTTTCTCTAACAGCCTTTAAGGTTTTGTCCCTGTGCTGGCCTTCTGGTACTTTAAGTATAATTTGGCAAGCAGAGATTCTCTTGCTATTTGGGGTTCTATATGCCACACTCATCTGTATGTTTATTTGACTATGGAGAAATTTAAAAAATTTGTTTAGGGTTGAATTTATCAAGCTTGTATTCTATGGCTTCTAGGTTTTGTGTCCTAGATAGAAAGGCATTCATGGTGAGAAAACTAATTGATGTATTAAAATTTTAAGAAAAAGGGATGGAACTAGACCCTGTCACTTCCTTTAACTGAAGCCCCCTGGCTCAGAAGGCCTTCAGAGCCTCTGGGTTTCAAAAAACTTTGGCTACAGGAGCTGAACCATCACTGCACTGAACCAGAGCGAGGACTGAGAGCCAAAGAGAGAAAGTCCACGCAGGGTTGGAGTAGAACCAGCCCACCCACCTTCCCGTGGTGGGCACTGTGCTTTCTTCTCAAAGCAGGCCCAGGTGGAGGGGAAGCTCAGACCCAGCCATATTTCTTTCGTTTTGGTTAATCTGTCTGTCTTTAACCCAAGTCTTACTATGTTGCCTAGGTTGATTTCAAACTCATGACTTCAAGTGATCTTCCTGCCTCAGCTTCCCAAGCTGCTGGGAGTGAGGCATACATGCCCTTGCACTGCTGCTGGCCATGGTTTTGCATGCCGCTCTCCTCCCGAGTCTGCTGGAAGGGAGGAGAGGCTCCTGTGAGTTACAAGTGGGAAACCAGCTCCTGCTTGGAGAGGGGAGGGTGCTTTGCGCCTATGGGGAAGGAGGTCAGCCAGGCGATGGGGGAGACTTAGTTCATCCCCTCCTGGGGCCCTCTGCCCCATCAGAATGCTGCCCTGGGTCCCCAGTGACCCCCCCCCCCATGAGGCATCTCCTGAGGACTGCTTCCTTCTATTGACAGTGCTTTTTTTAAAATTTCCTTTGTGGTACTGGGGACTGAATCCAGGGATGCTCTACCTTTGAGCTGCAACATCAACTCTTCTTATTTTTTATTTTGAGACAGGGTCTCACTAAGTTTCCCAGGCTGGCCTCTCTCATGCCCGTCCTAGCCTCCAGCCTTACATATTTCCAAATCGTCGCATCTCATCCTGGCCTCTCCCCTCTTACATTCCCCTCAAGTCCTTTTTGTTGCTGTGTCTTTGCCAAGCATGTAGATCACTACTTTATACTACAGTGTAAAGGACCCCCAACCTGTATTGAGATCATAAACAAGACCCAAGAAAAGGAATCTTAGCTATGGAATACACTCTCTGGTGCTATGCTTTGGGTCTTAAATGTACCTCCAAGGCCCATGTGTTACACACTTGGTCCCCAGCCCAGAGGAAGGTGGGAATCTTACTTTTTACAGTAGACTTATACGTACCTCTGGATTTTGAATCATGTGATTGTATACTCTTCAAAAATAATAAAAACAGCCTTGGGGATTCGTTATTGCTTTCCCTGAGGTCCAGGGTGAGACAAGGTGAGTATAGAATGGAAATTTAAAACTGACGCAGACCGGCAAACCGTTCTCCCACAAAGTAATTCTACCCTTTGCCAGAAGAGGGCAGTGTATGCCCTAGAGCCTCAAGGACCAGCAGCTTACCCCAGCCAATCAGCAGCCAGGATGTGGGGTAATGTGGCAGGTTGAGACTTGTAACTGCTACCGAGCTGTAGTTAACAGTGCACAGAGGGCGTAGAAAGACACGATGAGCAAGCCTCCTCGCTTTCCTCATTCCTTCCAAACAAATGTTTGACCCTTGCTTAGATATCTTGCTTTCAAAAGGTTTTCCAAACGATATTCACAAGGTCATCAGGTAGACAAACATATTTTAAAATACCTAATGGTGGTACATATATTTAAATTGAATTAGCATAATTTGGAAATGTATGGTATACACATCCAAAATTATAATCTCATGGACGTTATTTTGCTTGGAAGCCGAGTGAAAAATGGCAAGCCAACTTACATGCCATTATTTGGGGAGAGGGAGTAGCTGGTAATAGAATTGGACTGTGAAAATAGCAAAAATTTGCCCACAAATGAAGTGCGGTTTCTCGGCCTGCTCTCCCATAAGGTCCATAGTTGGGCCTCCACCTGCTTCTTGTCTCAAACTTTCAGAGAAATGGGCCCTTTGTGGCCCTGGGACCTGCCTTCAGGGTTCCGTGCCTTTGCCTAGTTTAAGCACTGACATGATGCCACAAGCGGGAAATTCCACACCTGACCGCCTGTGTGGCTCTCTGTCAAAATGCATGTGAGCTACAAATATTGTGTAAAATCACTTTCTGGCTCTGTCCCCAAGATGTGTATGAAATGTAAATGAATGTCATGTCTAGGCTGGGTCCCACCCCCAAGATATTGCCTTATAGGATTAATAATGAATAATTGATACTTCCACATAGGAAAAGGTACAAAGGGGTAGCGATGGTGGGAGGAGATGGGGAAAGGAAAGAAGGGAAAGGAAAAATTATGAGAAAAGAAAAAAAATGGAAGCGAAGTCTATGTAAATAGGGAAGGGTGGAGGGGTGAAGGGTGCACAGGGAATGGGGAAAAAAATAAGAACCAAGATCCATCATGTGCAGGTACAAGCACCCAATGATAAATGTAAACATATTGTATCCCTAAAATGTAGCAATAAAAGAATTTAAGGAAAAAAAAATTATCTCCTTATAAACTTACAAATATCCCAAATCCAAAACGCTTTCGCTGCCAAGCATTTCAGATAAGGCATCCTCAACCTATTCCATTCTCACTCACTTCCCAGATATGCAGCCTGAGGCGCTATGAGTTAGACGGAACAGCTTGAGTCCAGACACCTGCTGTTGGAGAAACAACAGATCAACCGGTCACCAGACTCCAACAGAGCATTTGGCACAAGTGAAATCAAAGTCATTGAAGTGAATGAATGAATGATGGTAAATTTATCTCCATTACCCGGATGAGGAAACAGGCTCAGAGGTCTTAACTGACTGTCCCAAGAACCTCTTGCACTGAAGGCGGGATCTCCATGGGGCATAGACATGGAGACTAAATGGCTGCAGGATTTAAACTGGAGAAAAGGGAATCAAAACTTATGAATATAGTTGTATGTGGAATAAAACTTTCATGAAACATTTTTCTTGAAAGTCTTGAGAAATCCATTTAGAGTTCCTTCGTTTCTATTTTCTCTTCCAATCCCCTCAACCACATGACAAAGTGGCCAGGACAATGTTATTAATCCCATTATGAGTAGGAGTAAACTGAGCTCCGAAGGGCCAAGGCCCACAGTCCCTGGGCTCCTGCAACATGCCACGCTCTGGGCCAGGTGCTTCTTGGCACCGTGGAGTTCCCAAGAGACCTTGGCCCAGAGCTAATTTGGTTTCAGTTGAATCTGATAAAATGGTAGCCAGAATGAGAAAGCCAGCTCCAGGGGACATAGAAAACCAATTCCTTTGGCTCCCTAGAAGGATGTAAAGCATAAAAAGTGAAGAGTTTTATTTTCTTCTTTGCATGTTCTCTTCTTCCTTTTCTTTCCTTTCCCTTCTCCATCTCCCCACCTTCCTTCCTTCTTTCTTCTCTCCCCCAAATGCTCACCCCTGGTTGTGCACACCGGGCTCAGAACCTCACCCTTGCCCAGTGGTGGGTGGCTGCACATAAGACTCTGGGTGATTTAAACCTTCTGATGCCCAGCCCTATCCAGCTCCAGCAATGACAAGGTCAGCTAATCCTTCGAGGCGGGGATGGTGCTGTCCTTGCAGGGTGTTTAGTGGCATCTGATGTCTACCCACTAGCTGACATGTGCATTTTCCACTAGTCACAGCTAGAACACCTCTGGACATCAGCAAGTGGCCCCTCGGTAAAATCACACCTGTTCCGGTGGAAAACTGTTGCCTTAGACATCACTTCATCCACTACCAGCCTCAAGTTCCCCACTCTTGGCCCCAAGGCCTCTGCTTCCTCTAGGGGTGCCAGGTCAGCCTGCATGGGGGCTCCCGAGAACAGGCTGCACCTGCCCTACTCATGGCCAGAGCCTCCTGGCACTGCCTGCTGTACGGCAGGTACCCAGGAAATACTGGAGGAATGGAATTGAACTTGCCCACAACAACAATGACTGTCTTCATAACCATGATGGAAATGGGGACTGAATTGATTTTGGTGTCACTTCAAGTCCTCATGCCCTGGGCTGACGCTGACTTCTGTCCCCAAGGATGCTGCCCTCCTTGTTGGCCCCATCCTGGGTCTAACTGAACCTGTGCTCACCTCCTGTTGGTGCTGGACTGTCCAGAAGGCCTCCCCAAGTCCCTCCCCTCCTGGTCCCCAGAGTCTCCCAGTGGATTTGCTGATCACTGTCTTGGGGATGCTGAACCCTTACTCTCTAGACATTCTGACTCTAAGGGCCGTAACACTGAATCCTCTGTGACTGTAACCCCGTAAAACCTCTCCTTGGGGTTCTTCCTGGTACCATTACTTTACCTGATAACTTGTAGCCAAAATATGATTTCTTATCAACTATTTTTCACATCGTAATAAACATGAGCATATTGACAAATGAAGGCCATGCTCCTAAGAAGGTCTTTCTCTATAACTTTCTTATGTTTCCCCCACTCTTTGTGTCCAGCTGGGTATGCATCTGGGTTCAAATTTTGGCTTTGAAACTTCATAATCATATATGCATGGCTAGTTATCTTTACTTCATGCCTTCTAAGCTGTTATTTATTATTTATTTTTGGTTTTTTGAGACAGTGTCTCACTATGTAGCCCTGGCTGGCCTCAAACTCACAGCAATCCCCCTGCCTCAGCCTCTCAAGTGCTGGGATTACAGGTGTGCACCACCATGCCTGGTGAGACATTGGTTTGGGGGAAAAAGTTATAAAGAGAAGGGTTTGGAATGGAGGAAAGAGAGACAAGGAAGAGCTTGGGGGAAGGAAAGAGGAAAGAGTCTGGGGGAAAGAGGGAGAAAGAGAAAAGTGTCTGGGAAAGAAAGAAAAAAGAAAGCTAAGGGCCAGGGATTTAGCTCAGTGGTTTCGCCGCCTGCTGCGCAAGCACAAGGACCCGAGTTCAATCCCCGGTACCAAAAAAAGAAAAAAAAAAAAAAGAAGGGTTGGGGAAACAGGTTAGCAAGGAAAGGGTTGGGGGAACAGATTGATACAGAACTGTTTGAGGGGAAAGAGGTGAGAAGTGTTTGGGGGAAAAGGCCCAGTGAGCTCCTCCAGTCCACAGCCCAGCACCCCAGTTTATATGACAGGTGAGCTGGAGCAGAGGGGACACCTGGTTGCTGTTTCTAGCTGGACAGTGGCTGATGTCCCCTCCCCAGGGGCTGCTCCTGGCCACCCAGCTGGAGTAGCCCCAGCCAGTCTCCATCTATGTTCCTTTTTCTTCATCTCTACCTGGCATTTTTTTTTTTTTAGACAGTGTCTCACCATATAGTCCAGGCTGGTCTCGAACTCACTATGTAGCCCAAGCTGGCCTGGAACTCGTGGCAATCCTCCTGCCTCACCCTCCCAAGTGCTGGGATTACAAGTGTGCACCACCACTCTTGGCCTTTCCTGCTGTTTTTGTAATGTGGCCACCCCCATAAGACTGAAAGTTCATGACAACAGGACCTTCTTGTCTTGGTCATTGCCATGTCCCCAGCACAGAGTCTGTGCTGAATAAATAGCCCCTCAATTTAGAAGTAGTAGAGCCAGGGCCAGATGTGTGTCTCTGGCCAGTGTTGCTCCCTGGATTCTTTCTGGCTCAGAGATTGCCTCCCATGGTGGGGGCACCTGTCCCTCACAGTTCTATGGCACACAGTAGGTCCTCAGGAAAGTGTATAAGCCAGAGAGACCAGTCAGACCCCAACAGCCTGACTTTGGAGGTTTGTGGGGGACTTGGCCAAGGAGTGAGTGGTTAAGCTGCAGGCTCTCTGAGGAGTAAAAAAAAAGCTTGAATTAGTGAAGCATGTTACGTCCGGTCATTGTCTTTCCCCTTTCCCCAATAAAATGCTTAGCCTTGAGATAGTTCCTTGCCCAAACTGCTTTTCTCCTTTTTTTTTTCTCTTACACTGATATTCTGGGGGGAGTTTTGGTACCAGGGATAGAACTTGGGTCCTTGTGCTTGCGAGGCAGGTGGCAGAACCACCAAGCTAAATCCCCAGCCCTCTTACACTGGTATTCTAAATAAAAGTCAGAGATTTCTTGGCTTCAGGTCTACTTCAGAGAGCCTCCCTAATGCTGGATGCTCAGTTGAGATAGCCCCTTCTGGGCTTCTTGGTATTTAGACTGAGTCTTATCTCTGAGTAATCTTTTCATCTTCTGTGCCACCACAGTCACAGACTAAGGCACCCTAAATGTGTGTATACACACACACACACACACACACACACACACACACTCAGGGGTCCTGACGATGTTGCAGAATGTGCTAGAGCCCCTCATGAAACAGTGCTGTGCTCCTGGGATGCCCTGGTGCCCTCGGCCCTCTGGAGCTCATCAGTCCAATGAGCTTGGATTTCCCCAAGATGTTAGCACCTGGATCAGGGGCCCATCCACAGAGATGTGTGGTGTAGCCCCACAGAGCACAGAGCCAGCCTCCTAGAGCAGTGACTGAGGAGGGGGAGGAAGTGGAGATCAGGAAAGAGGGACAGCATCCCACTGGGGTCACACACTGCCCACGGCAGTCACCTCCTCACCAAGCTCCCTGACTGCTGTCTTTCCTTCCTGCTCCTCTCCCTCCACCCCTACAGGGTGTCCGGGGCCTCTTCCTAGCTAAACACACCTGCTGTGTCCAGCTCTGCTCTGAGGATTCCAATGTAGGCAAAGGCGTGCATCTCACAAGCCAGTGTGGAGCTCTCGAAATCAAGCTCCAAGGCTGGGGAGAATGGGAACGGCCCCAGTCAACCAAAACCCCTTTAACTATGCTCCAGATCGGGGCTCAGGGAAAAGGCTCATGTGAGGAAGGAATCTTGCTCCTTCCCAACACGTGCACATGCACGCATACACACACACACACACACACACACACACACACACACGCACACAGCTGCGCATGTACGCACCCCTGGTGTTTGCTCACTGGGCTCCCCTATTCCTGAGCCGCCCCACAGCCCCCATGTCCTCACCACTCTCACAGCAGGTTGGGCCTCTCTCAGCTCTCTGGTCCCGAGGGCGGTAAAGACCCGTACAAGTGCACCGCCCCACTGCACCCCGACACCCCGCCGTCACTGGGGAGCCCTGCCCAGGACTCGCTGCTTCAGCCCCTGGGCTGTGACCAGGCGGGTGTGTGGACGGCAGGGTCTGCAGCTGAGCTCCTTCTGCTGCCTGTCCTTCCCCTGACGAAGCGGACCGGGCCGGCGGCCTTATTTACCCTCTCCGTCCCAGTGGGAAGGTCCCTCCCTCCGTGCACCCCTGTGTACTGAGTGGGCCTCGAGCGGAGGCCTAGCCCGTCCTCCCCGTCTCCGGCCCCTCCAGATGGATGAGGTCCGGCCGCACTCTGTTTACTCTGTGTTCTCTGCCCATTGTGCATGACATTGATCTCAGGTTTTGTTTTTCTTCTTCTTCCTCCCATCTCCCTATTAGTTCAGCCTCAGAAAGCCCCTTATCACCTCCGGATGTCAGGCCATTGGGCCTGCCTGGCCAAATAGATTCCCCATTAATTGATTTTGCCCTCCCTCCCCCAGGGAAGCACAAGTGGGCTCTGCCCATTAGCAGCAGTAATTCCTGGAAGGGACCATAAATCACACTGTGTCCCCGAGGGGTGACGTGGGGGGGGGGGCTCGCATCCCTCAGGGTCCACACCAGCCAGAGGGGCCAGGTCCCAGCACACGGGGACACTCAGTGGGCTGACATCTCCCCGACCCCATACCGCGTGGCCGTTTCTCTGGTTGTTGGGGCCGCAGGGTCCCCCCAACACCGGACGTGCTCCTGAGAAAGATGCTCTCCTGCACCCCAGCCAGGTTCAGCCTTGCTGGGCTCTGGGGGCTTGGAGAAGCCTGAGGGTGAGGGACAGGGCAGAGGAGAGCGCGGGAGCACCAGGCCGGGAGAAGGAGCCGCCAGGAAGGGCAGGAGGCCTGCACGCTGACTGCCCGGCGGCGCACGGTTTCTGCACAGCTGGTGCCAGCACACGGTGGGGCCTCAGTACATCGTCTGTACCTGAGTGGAGAGCTCTGCCCACACGAACCCGGAGCTGCTTCCGTCAGGACTGGAAGGAGGCGGGAGGGAGGGCACCGAGGGGCTGCTTCGGCCCTTTCTCTCCCCAGCCCGGCACCGGCGCCCCTCTGCTCCGGCCCACACCCCATTCTCCCTTCATCTCCTCCACCTTGGGACGGCCCTCGTCAGCTTGGATGGGTCCAGCCCCTGGAGGACGCTCGGTGCTGGAGAGGCTGCCTGGGGCCACTGCAGTCCTCAGCACCGGTGGCTGGACTTTGTCCGTGACCCGGAGGACTCTGGCCCTTGCGCTTCTCCAGGGCAGTCAAGGGGTCGATGGCCACACGGCCTTCAGGAGACCCCAGCCCTGCCCACTCCCATCCGGAGGCGGTGGGACGGGGGGGGGGTGGCAGCGCTCTGCTGGGCCCGTCTCTGCAGGACTCGAGGGAAGACTGAGGAGGGTGAGCTGCCTGGCCCAAGTGCTTTCTCATCCGCCAGGATGAGCCCTGTCCCTGCACAGCCCTGTCCCTCCAGCGCCTGAGCCTGGGCTTGTCCAGGACACCGCACAGCCCTACAGGACTCCACAGAAGACAGCCTGGCCCGACAGGCGCCCGGGAGAGGGCCATGGCCAGACCCCAGCGGATGAGCGGCTTCCTCCTCGGCTCAGGGATGCTCCGGCCACGATGCTGCTGGGGTGGGTGGTTCCCAAGCCCTGGCTGCTCAGAGTTTCCTACAGCAGCTTCTCCACTGTGTGAGGGCTGCGGCTGTTCCTGTCCCTTTGCTCAAATCAGCCCCGAGGGGATTAAAACCTCGGTGACCACTGGGAAGGGACAGAACACCCGACAGCGACAGTGGCCTAACACGCAGCTCGGGTTTAACACAGGAGGAATCTCGAGGCAGCGAGTGCAGGAGTCGGCTGGGGTCTCAGCCTCGCCCTGCTCTCGTGGGCCTCTCCCTGGTGGACGCAAGGGGCCTGGCCAGTGCAGCCTGCACAGGGGCGGGAAAGCGGGGCCGGCAGCAGCTGTGTCCAAAGCCCCAGGGCAGACCCTGCCATGCAGGCCGGAGCTGGGCCTGGCCACCCCAGCTGCAGGGGAGCTCGGCATGGGAGCCGGGACACTGCCGGCCCTCAGATCCCCTTCCCGGGCCCAGTGGGCGCCTGCTCTTCCTCGGTGGCCTCTCTGCAGCCTGCTACAGCCGTCCTGCCTGCAGCGTTCAGAGCACAACTGTCGCTGGCCAAGGGCTGCGGGAGCGGGGAGCCCCTGCCCTCCCCGCCAGGGACTAACAGGGCCTCACTTCTCTCACGGAGCTGCCCAGGCTCCGGGCTGAGGCCAGGACGGTGCCTTGTTTGTCTCCTCGCCCGCCCGGCTGGCATCCCCTTCAGTCCCTGCTGACTACGCGGCCTGCACACAAATCTCCCTCTCAGGGTGCTGCGGGGAGCCCAGCCTGAGATGGAGGGGAGCGAGGGAGGCACAGGGGGCCGGGTGGGTCACGCTGCATCACCCAGGGCGGACTTGTACGACACCGGTGTGACAGCCAGGACGGGGAGGATATTCCCTGGGCGACCTGCAGCGTTGGCCTCCGCAGCTCATTAAAGGAAACAGAAGACTCGGCCGAGAAGCACAGCCTTCGCATTTGGCACCCACGGGAGTGCGAAGCCGCACAGCCACTTGGGGACATGGCAGGTCCCCAACAGCTCCACGCAGAGGGACCGGAGGGCCCAGGTAGGAAGGGGAAACAGGTGTCCACGCAAGAACCTCCCCACAGACGTCAGAGCAGCGTTATTCATGACAACAGAAAGTGGAAACCACACAATCTGCCAAGTGGCTATCACACGGGTACAGCAGGTGGGGCACATCATCCTTTGAAATATTACTCTGCTATGAAGAGGAATGGAGTGCTCATGCAGGTACATGTGGATGGACCCTGAAAACATGCAAGTGAAAGAAGCCAGGCACCAAGGGCCACATGCTGCGTGCTGCCTCTTACAGGAAATGTCCAAGGTGGGGAAATCCATGGAGTTAGAAGGCAGATTAGCGGCTGCCCCAGGCTGTGGGGGTCTGGGTTAGGCCACAGGGTAGCAGCCAGCAGGGGGAGCTTGTCGTAGAGATGATGAGCACTGACGGTGGCGATGGCTGCACAACTCTGCAACTATGCTCCAGACCTGAATTGTACACTTCAGGTGTGTGGATGGCAGTTGGTGAATTCTCTCTGTATACCTCTCACACACGCAGGAGCGGAGGAGGGAGAGGCAGAAGCAGCATCAGTTCACCCCTCTGAGCCCTGGCAGCACCCTGGGTCAGCCATGCTTTTGGGTCTCTTTTATTCACATCTGTCCCCACCCAGCACATTATCCTCCGGAGGGACCTGCTGGAGGGGTTCAAGCGACACAAACGACCTGCAGAAGCAAGGAGGCCTCAGTGTCCAATTTACCAGCAGATTGGTGCTGCTGCTCCGCAGCGTGGCGGTCACTGGCCTGATCGCTGTACCCTGATTTGTCACCCAGCGCTCTTCCTCGGGTCCCAGTCCCCAGTCGGCAGGTGGGTCCTCCTGGCCCATTCTGTAGCCAAGGCAACAGAGTAGCAGTCCATTCACACCTGCACGGGGCGGGAGGCTTTCCCAGGAGTAGACGCCTGGGCAGAGTGGGTGCCAGCAGATTCAGCCCAGAAACACCTGATGCCAGGCCAGAGGGGGAGGACAACGGGCTCGGGAGCCCCGGGAGGTCCCTTTGAGGGGCCCCTGCCGTGCTGCTGCCCGTGGAAGAGAAGCCGGGCAAGGGTGCGTCCTGTTTGCACTCAGGCACTTAGCACAGCCAGGCTGAGCCTCGCTGTTCAAACAGACTGGGGCAGGGCCTGGGCGCACCCCTGGATGCACGGGGCACCTGCTCCCGCCTCTCCCCACAGCCAGCCTGAGGCCCAGCCCTCTCCCCGCTGTGCCATGCCCTGTGCCAGGCTCTGCAGCTGCCGGGACGGCCGAATACTGCCCCTGCTGTTGGCCTACGTCTGCTACCTGCTGCTTGGGGCCACCATCTTCCAGCTGCTGGAGAAGCCAGCGGAGGCCGAATCCAGGGACCAGTTTCAGATGGAGAAGCTGCGCTTCCTGGAGAACTACACGTGCCTGGACCGGCGGGCCCTGGAGCGGTTTGTGCAGGTGAGGGGAGCAGGTGGGTGGCAGGGATGGGGTGTGGGGACTTGGAGACCAGGAGCTCCAGGCAGGCGCAGAGCTGGGACCCCGAGGGCTGGGGACCTGTGGGAGCAGCGTGTGGTGGGGACAGGGCCCAGTGACACCCGGTCCTGGATTCTGCCCAGGTCTGCACCTGGATCACTGTGGGGCCTTGAGCAAGTCCCTGAGCCTCGCTGGACCCAGGTGTCCCTGTCTGTGGGGTGGCGGCCCCAGACACTTGGCAGCCGGTTCAAGGCGCTCTGTGCTGTCACAGGCAGCGCAGACACGGCTGAGTGTCCGCACTGGCAACGCTCTCCACGCTTCGTCCCCGGCACCTCCTGACCCCAGCTCCAGGCTGCGGCCCCTCCTGCCTGCGTGTGTCCCCAGGGGACACGGCCAAAGTCAGGAGCAGCCACCATGCTGGCCTCGCTCCCCTGGAGCTGGGCTGTGGGCAGTGGCCCAGGTGACCAAAGCCCTGTTGCTCTGTGCCCACGGCAGGCTCTCCTGCCGGGTTCCTTCGGCCTCCCTCCCTTGCAGAAACAAGCAAACAGGTGGGGAAGGTGACTGCTTTTGTGAGGCAGGGGGTGACAACACCCCTACAAAGGGACAGACCTGGCTCAGAAGCCCCCAAGGATGACCGGTGTGCGCTGAGCACTTACAATGTGCCCAAGCAGTGAGGAGCAGGGCTCGGAGCATCAGAACCTGCACCAGGTGCTGTCACCTGTTCCCGTCACCTTCCTCAGCCTGCAGGTGGGAACTGAGGCATGGGAGGTGGAGAGTCCGCCAGGGCTGCAGGTCACTGGTACAGACAGAATCTCGTCAGCTCCGGCCAGGGAGGCCTTGCTGGGCACCACACAGATTAGCATGCGAAGTGGGGACTGGAAACGGCCAGCCGGGCAGCGGTTCTCAGAGCGTGGCCCTGGGCCGGCAGCGGCACCGAGCTGGTTGGAGAGCAGCTGTCGCCCCCCAGCCCCGTGGCCAGGAACTGCAGGCGTCAACGCCGGCCACTGGCATGAAGGGCAGCGCTGAGCTGTGAGGAAGCAGCGTCTGCCCGGCACAGAACTAGGGCGCCCGCCCTCTCCGCACCCCCACCACTCAGAGAAGAAACCACCACGTGCCTGCCCCCACCCGCCCCATCGGGGCTCCGGCATCCGGGCCCCAGGGGCGCAGAGGGGACCCCGGGGACCAGGCCCAGAGCTGCCGGATCAGGACGGGGTCTGCAGGGAGGGCTGTGCTGGGGCGGGAGAGACTGCGGCTCAGGTCCGCATCCTCAGAGCCAGTCGCTGCCGATGAGGCCAGCCCCGGCCCAGGGCCACCGAGGCAGGTGAGCGGCTCCCGGGCCAGCGCTTCGTGGTTCCCAAGGGAACGCAGGCCAGGGGCTGCACACCACAGCTACAGGGCACTGGGCGGGGCAGGGAGGAAGGAGCCCCATTCTCCAAGAGTGCTGGTCCCAGAGACAGAGGGGCCCAAGCCACCAAGAATTCAGCTCTAGAAACACACGCACTGCACACGCACACACGAAACACGCACATCCGTGCAGCACACAGCGCCGGGCACTCAGCGCACCCCACGCAGACGCGCGCGCACGCGCACAGGATTTCTCTGTAGGCAGCGCCAGACTTGCCAGTGGGCGGCAAAGAGCACAGCAGCTCCTCCCCTGCAGGCCCCCCTGCCTCAGCCCCCTCCGAGGGCAGTCCCCAGGCTTCCTGTGGACCCCGGCCCCGGTAAACTAGGTCGCCAGGAAATCTAACCTGAGATGTCATCCAACCTGGATTGCGCTCCTTATCCTAACACTCAGTGCGCATCATCCCCTGGCCACAGCATTTGACTCCCACCTGGACCCCTCCTGGATCGCCCACCTCGGCCCCTTAGGCCCCCTGCTGTTCCCCAGCCAGGCAGCTGCTGGCCTTGGAGCCAACGCCCTTAGGCAAGTCCCTTGGCCAACCTGGGCCTTGGGCTCCCGGCCCTGCAGTTCAGATGAGGCTGTCTGGCAGCCTTGCTGGGTGAGCAGTGGTGATCACCACCCACAGCCAGCTCGGCTGCTGCTTGGTGAGAGTCACTGTCCCTACCTGCTACCCACAGGTCATCTTGGAAGCCTGGGTGAAAGGCGTGAACCCCAAAGGCAACTCCACCAACCCCAGCAACTGGGACTTCAGCAGCAGCTTCTTCTTTGCAGGCACGGTCATCACCACCATAGGTAAACGGCTGCGGGACAAGGGGGCTCCCGAGGCCCCGTCTTAGTCGGGCTCCCTGGGAGCAGAGGCTGGCACGGGACGGGGCCCATCCAGGGAGGAGGAGGGAAGCACAGGCGGGGAGCGGGCAGGTGAGACGGGCAAGACAGGGAACCAGTTGGGCCGCACGGGGTACCTGCAGGTGGCTGGGCCCACACCCTCGGGGCCCTCGGGACAGGCAGAGCCCAGCTCGGCAGGGCCCGAGGGCGAGGATGCGGCCTCCAGGTCTGACTCGGGCCTGGCTGCTGAGAGCTGGTCCCAGAGCGCTGCCTCCCGGCGTCCTGGACCCTCGGGGACAGAGCCGCGGCCTTGTGGTGGGCAGTCGGCTGTGGGCAGGGGCTGTGCCCAAAGCAACAGCATCTGCTGCACCCCTCGGCCAGAGAGCCCGCTCCGCGCCCCCGGGAAGGCCCCAGACTCTCCATAACCCGGGACCCCCCCCCACGCACCAGTGACGTCCACTCGCACACACCTTCCCCACACCCCCGCAGCCTGAGGAGGGCCCGGTGCGGACACCCTGGCTCGGCCCTCAGCCTCCGGTCCGAAAAGGAGGGCTCAGGTGAGCACCATGACAGGAGGCGAGGTGGGTAATTAGATAGGGAAGGCACAGAGCCCTGCAGGAATCTCACCCAGCGGGAGGAGGAAGCAGACGTCAGGAGGGCTTCGTGGAGGCAGCGTCATCTGCAAGGGGCCTTCAAAAACAGCAGGATTTCTGTGATACAGACCACTGAGCAGGGGCGGGTGGGTGCTCATGGGGAGAGCAGAGCATCCGCCCTGCCCCTCGTGGCTGGAAGACAAACCTCTGCTGGAGTCTGAGGCTGGGGTCTGAACTTCCCTCCCTCACAGGATATGGGAACCTCGCACCCAGCACCGGGCTGGGCCAGGTCTTCTGTGTCTTCTATGCCCTCGTGGGCATCCCACTCAACGTGGTCTTCCTCAACCACCTGGGCACAGGCCTGCGCGCCCACCTGGCCACCCTGGAGAGGCGGGAGGAGCAGCCCCAGTGCTCCCAGGTAGGGCCTCCCGCCCTCCAGCTCCAATCAGTGCCAGGGGCAAGGCCAGGTTGGGGTGCAGGGCAGAAGGGGAGACAGCCATAGAGAGAAGGGGCAGTGGAGGGATGGGGCAGGGGCAAGGCTGGGTCTCAGGGCAGGATGGACGAGGTGGGGCCGCCTGGAGCTCTGCCGTGAACAGGGCCATCGGCGTAACTGCAGTGGCCCAGGAGCCAGACTTCCGTGCCTCAGCTGGGCACTGGGCCAAGCCTTCCCGGGAAGGGGATGCCATGTGCCAGGGCTCTGCAGCTGAAGGACCCCTGACAGAGCTGAGCATGGGCCTGCAGCCGTTGGCCGGGGAATCTGGGCCTGCATCACTGTGGTCATCACAGAGCTCCGGTGTCCTTCCATGTGGTCAAAACAGAACCAGGCCACCCAGCTGCCCCTAGGCCCCGCCCCCTGGAGGACAGGGATGTGGCGGGACCTGGGACAGTTCAGTGACTTCCTGCCTAGATCTGAGTCCCCCGGGAGCCTGTTCAAGCGTGACCCTCGAGGGGGCTTCAGATCCCTCCTGTCCCACTGACAGCCTCTGCCTGTGGCTGTCACCCTGGCCGGCCGGGTCACACGCCCATGGATGCGGCCCCACCCCAAGGTCTTCGGGGCAGGCACCTGGTCTCCCCGCTGCAGCCTTCCAGGTGGGCTCAGGGCTGCTCCCCTCCCAGCTCCTGCAGGTCCTGGGCCTGGGCCTGGGCCTGACCCTGGGGACCCTGGCCATCCTCATCATCCCGCCCGTGGCCTTCAGCCACGTGGAGGGCTGGAGCCTCAGCGAGGGCTTCTACTTTGCCTTCATCACTCTCAGCACCATCGGCTTCGGGGACTACGTTGTGGGTGAGGAGGAGACAGCAGGGATCTCGGGTGGGAGACCCACTGGGATTCTGGGTGGGGAGAGAGCAGCTGAGGATGTTTCCAGGCTACAGTGGTTCTCAGTGACCTGCTCAGGAGTCTCTGGTCCGGGCCGTGGCCATTCCCCGGGGACCCTGCTGGACCTGGACGATGGGGGCCCTGGGAACCTGGGGGTGGCTGGGCCCTCAGACACCTGCTGTCCCTCCTGTGGCAGGCACGGACCCCAGCAAGCACTACATCCCGGTGTACCGGAGCCTGGCCGGCCTCTGGATCCTCCTGGGCCTGGCGTGGCTGGAGCTGCTCCTCTCCCTGGGCCCCTTGCTTCTGCACAGGTGCTCACGGCTCTGGCTGCTGGTCAGGGGCGGCGGCCTCACGGACGGGCCAGCCCCTGACCCGGAAGAGCTCCCCAGGCCTCAGAAGAGCCCCATCTCTGCATGAGGCCCCCCACGGGCCCAGCAGCCCCCAGCCTCTCCAGCCCAGGCCGTCTGCCCTCGGGTTCCCCGCCCTGCCCTGCCCACTCACTCCCCAGCCAGGGCTCCTCAGCTCGGCAGAGAGAGAAAGGGGGCGTGGGGAGGAGAAGGAGGCCCCGGGTCAGCCGGGTGTGGAGTGGACATGCACCCCGGACCCAGAGCCCCTGCCCCCAGAGATGACCTGGGAAAGCCCCAATGGATCCCTGTGGCCAGAGCTCCTCCCTCCCCACTGCGCCCCCACACCTGAGACAGACAAAGGGTTCGGGTCTCTGTCCCCCTGGAGAGGCGCACAGTGCGCATCCGCCGCCGACCCGAGCCAGCTGTGCGCAGGGAGACAGGTCTGGGGCGCAGCGGGGAGCGTCCTGTCCTAGCTGAGCCTCTGGCCTGGCAGGCGGAGGAGTAGCGAGGCAGCCGCAGAACAGCGCCCAGAAGCCTCCGTGGGCCCGAGGCGGGGATGGCGGTGCGTGGGGATGGCTGGAGCGGCGGGCCAGCCCCCTGGGCAGGCTGCGTGCCCACAGGAAGCTGCCCTGTCCCCAGCAAGGCTCAGGACCTCTAGGGTGTCCCCACCTCCCTGGACATGACCTCCGGGGACCCCCAGGCACCCCTTGACCTCATCACTCCTCAAAAGCGCTTCCAAGCACCCCGAGAAGCCAGAGGCCAGCAGATGCCAGGAGCCGTCCAGGAAATGAGCCCTGGACCCGGCCTCCCGAGGGAACGCGTCCTCCAGGCCCAGCCTCCTCCAGCCGGCCTGCGGCGACTCGGCCAGACCGAGGAGAGCTGTGCACAGCGCCGCCCAATCAGTGGCTCCCCCTCTCCCCCCCTCCCTTCCCCACTTCTCCTCCGCCCCGCCCCGTATCTGGGTGTGCACTCCTCTGAAGGGCGGATCCCCGCAGCTCGGGCCTCTTTGTCCCAAGGATTGGGTCCCGAGGTGGGGCAGGGCGGCCCGTCCCCACCCCCTCCCCATACCTTCCCCACGGGGACACTGGCCAGGGGAGATGGCGGCCCCACCCTGTGTGGCTCCCATTGCAGGCCGGGGGCTGGGGACTGCGACCTGGTGCTCCCTGGCTGTCACTGGGCTCCTCGTGTTCTGTGCTTGAGGGCCGTGCCACAGGCCACACCCGCCCTCTTCCAAGACAGCCCAGTGCAAACGTCGCCAAGGTGGGGACCTCACGCTGAGGTCCAGCAGGACTGAGGGCACACAGGACTCCCGAAGTTGGGAAAGGGTCCCAGAGGGCAGTGGGACTCGGCCAAGTCCCTTGTCTGGGGCAGCGGGGGGGGGGTGGCTGGAGTCTGGGGCAAACGTAGGGCTGAGTCCATTTTACCCCAAGTCTTCGGACACCATGGACGGAGAGCACAGCCCCAGGGGAGGTGGCTGGGAAGGTGTGGAAGGAGGACAGAGGTCAGCGAGGGTCCCAAACAACGGCGGCATGGTTCTGATCCACCTGGTGGCCCCTTGAAGACCCATCTCAGAGTGATCACCCTCTTCACCTAAGGGAGAAACACTGTCAGGGAGGAAGCAGCTACCTCAACAAAATCTGCTGAAAATCTTCCAAGGCAGATGCAGGAGCTGCTTCCGCCCAAAGAAAAGGATTATAGCTGGGAAGCAATGGGCTGACTTGAAAGCCTGGGGAGAAGGTCTAGGGAAGCTGATGCTTTGGTAAACAAGCTCTTTGCAGAGCTCCCACGTATTCATGAGACTCTACAAGGTCGTGCACATAACTAATGGATAAACAATTTTTGGTATACAAATGCAACAGAAAGTTTAGTCTTTAAAAGAATAAATAATGATAAATGTAACAAGGTGGATGAATCTTGCAAACAGTCATGCTAAGTGAAAAGATCCCAGTCACAAAAGGTATTTATGGTATGATTCCATTCCTAAGAAATGTCCAGAAGGGCAAATCCAAATAGAAATTCAATGAGAGGTTACCAGGGGCTGGAGGGAGGCCAAAATGGGAGTGATTACTTGATGTGTAAAAGGATTTGATGGGGAGAATAAAAATGTTCTTGAGTTAGTGATAATGGTTGCATAATTTGTGACTGTAAGAAAAATTTTGAATTCTACATTTTAAAATAGTGAACTTTATCTTACATGAATTATAGGCCAATTTTTAAGAGCTGTAAGGCTCAAACACACTGGTGCAGCTGAACTTTTGAGGACGCACTGGTCTTCAAGACAAGCTCCTCTTCTCATTGGTCAAGGGCAGTCTCATCTGCTCAGCAACCCTCTCCCATTGGCTGTACCCCTGCCATTCTGAAGACAAGGTTTCCCAGGCACTGTAGCAGGGGCAGGAGGGACCAGATGTTTTATTTTTTGCAAACTTCCAGTTAGGGGTGTGGGCCCCACAAGCCAGCCTCGCCCATTCAGGCACTTCTGCCTCAGGACAGAGACTTGGCTGAGAGGTCAGCGGTTGGCACTGGAGGGTCTGACTTGTAGTTTTAGCCTCAGCTTGCGTCCCTTCCTGGTAACCCTGTGTCGCAGGTGTCCTTGGTCCAGCAACCCTGAGGTGCTGCCCAGCCTGCACTCGGCTGTCCCCCTGTGAAGGCCCCCAGCACCCCATGTCCTGGGAGCCACTGCCTCAGGTCCCCACACCCACGGCCACGGTCTCCCCCACCCCAGCATCCCCTATGGCAGTTGTTCTCTTAAACTGTGGAAAGTTCTGGAAGCCCAGGGTGGGCGGGGCGGGGCTGGAGCAGGGCTTCTGATTGGCTGCCGAGGTGGACGTGGTGTGCGCGTGTCCGCGGGTGGGCGTGGCTAACGGCCGAGACGTCGTTGGCGGTTATTCTCTACTCATTCTTTCCACAGAGCCTCTCCGCGAAGGGCTGCCTCCCGGGGCTCCGGGACATGGGGCGACCTAGAACTCCCTGGCTGTCTCCGTAGTCTCACCCAGGACGTCGGTGGAGCAGCGCGACCCCGTCCGAGTCCTCCGGGCTCTGCTCTCCCTTTGTCTGCTCTGTTCTCTCAAGGAGTGTCCACGGTACAAGGTGGACAGGGACAGACGGGTCTCTCCCCGCCGGGGCAGACGCGGGAATCCGAGGGCTCCGCCTCACTGTGGTTTCTGCTCCGCAGCCGCCGCCCCGTGACCGTGATCACCGTCGCGCTGCGCAGGGAGGCCGAAGCCCCAGGTCGGCTGCGCCGCCTGGAAGTACCTACGGGATGAAGCAGCCGCGACCCGAGCTGTCTTCCGAAGGGCCCGCTGCGGCACCGCGCCTGTCCTCGGAGCCCGGCCCCGCCGGCCGCGATTCTGTTCCAGCAACGCCGGGAGCTGGAGCCCTGCGCGGGGATCCAAAGCAGATCCGGCCCCTCTCCTGTTTTCTGTCCTTTCTGTCCCGGGCGCAGCTCCCACCCCAGGGCTTTGCCATTTACCAGCACCGTGGAAACTGGGCTCTTCCCGTGGCTCAGGGCTGCCTTTCCTGACCCTTTGTGCCCCACTCGGCTCTTCCTCAAGGAGGATGGTGTGTCTCCGGGGCCTGGTCGGCCCCCCAGGCTCCAGCCCCGACCCAGTCCCCAGGGCACAGCAGCAGAGCTGAATAAAGGCGGTGCCGTGCTGATTGCTGCACTGTTCTGTGCGCTGATTCCTGCCTGGGTTCCGTGTCGTCCTCCCACCCAGCCAGGGGCAGTCGCGGGTGCGGGAGGGAGCTGGAGGCCAGGAGGCTGCTGAAGGGGCTGCACGGCCTCCCCTCCCCTCCCAAGCTCATGGGCAGCTTAGGTGGGGACCTGGCATCTGTGGGGTAATGGACACTTGGCGGACTGTAAGAGGCCAGGCAGGAGCTAAAGGGACAGATTGATCCACCAGCACGTGAGGTCCTTCCGACCTGGGTCGGAGAGGTAAACCGTGGTTCGTAGTGAGGTCCTGGAGTTTTATGAGTTTGTATTTTTATAACTATTCTTCTGGTCTCTGAATGAGGGTGAAGGGAGGCTAAGGAACTGCCTGCCGGCGGGAGGGTGGAGGTGTCCCGGTCAGTGTGAAGAAAGGGCTGGTGTCGCAGTACACCTGCAGGGTTGGTGACTTACCTGCACCTCGCTCTGAGCAGGGAAAGTTGGAGCAGAACACAAAACATCCACTTCCCAGCCTCGGAGTGGCCTAGTGGCCCCTCCCGCCTTTCCTCTTCCCGCTTTCCCTCCCGGTCATGGACACCAGAGCTGCGGTGGAGAGAGCAAGGACATCCTAAGACGGCTCAGCTGGGTCCCTGGTCGCCTGTGCTTTCTGCCCATGATGGCCGAGGAGGAGTCTGGGGGTGTCTTCTCCGAGGGCTCTGGGGTCTTGAGCAGGAATGACGAGCCCATGCAGACCTGGAGCCACCGTCTCTGAGCTCTGAGCTCCTCAGGGCACAGGGCATGAGCCCTTCTGTGTTCTCTCCCGGGAGGAGTCTTGAGTCCCGCCTGAAAAGTAGGAAATCACCTGTGATCAGAACAGTGCCACCCAGTAGGGATGCTGGCAAGCAGAGGAGGGCGTATTTGGAGACTTCTTTTTTTTTTTTTTTGGTACCGGGGATCAAACTCGGGTGCTTGTGCTTGTGCTTGCGCAGCAGGAGTCGAAACCACTGAGCTAAATCCCCAGCCCTGACTTCTGATCTTTTGCAGCCCTGAGAGGCCGGGCCCAATACACATAATGACCATCAGTGTCCTGCAATTGGTAACAGTAGGCAGGGGAGAGGAAATCTTCGAGGCAGACAGGACAGTGACCCTGTCCTGGACATGGCTGAGACTCCGTGGGGGGCCCTACTTGCCTCCTGGCTTTGCTAGGTAGAGGTCCACAAGGACAATCCAGGTGGAGCCCGGCCCCTGTACCTGTCACCTCCCCCTCCTCTAGACCTGGATGGCGGGGGACTGGACCCCTGCCCTGGGCCCAGACAGCTGTGTCCCCCACCAGGCTCTTCTGACCTCCCCTCCCCTCCCCTTATCTGGGCCCCGCCCCCTCTCTGCCCCGCCCCCTCTCTGCCCCGCCCCCTCTCTGCCCCGCCCACAATGGACAGTCCTCTCTCACTCTCCCGCCAGATGGGTTGGCTCTGGAGAGGCAACAGGGCCTCGCATCCGTGGAGGGCTCTGTAGTGGCCTTCTCAGCCCCATCTCAGCTCTCCGGGCTCCTGTGGCTCCGCCCACCTCTCCCAGGCCTGGCTCTCCTCTGCCTGGGCGGACACTTTCCTCTCCCACTCAGGCTGTCTTCTGGCCTCGCTCTGCGCCCTCTGCCCTGCAGTGGCCTCCACCTGTCACCTAGGGCTGAGGGAGGGGCGTGCTGTGACAGGATCTCCAGTTCTGGGGCCAGAAGACTTAAGCTGAGACCACTGCTGCCCCCGAGCTCTACGAGAACTTGAAAAGCACCAAATCAACAACTCTGATCATCAGTTTGGGAAATCTGTAAAATGGAGACGGCAGTGATGGGCACAGCAGTTTTCGGCAGCGAATGTGAAAGGATCTTTCAGGACCCAGGCTGCATGCACTGACTCTGGCTGAGGTCACGCAGAGTGGTTGTACCTGTGTCCGGCTGGGTCTCTTCCCCGGGGCAGCAGGCATGAAGGAGCCCAGCCAGCCCACCCTGGGGTGAGCGCTCCCCCTTGAGACCCCTCATCTCTGGTTTAGGGTGGAAAGCAGAAGTGGAGCCCTGTTCTTGTTTGCTTATGCTGGACACAGACCCCCTTATTCCATAACTGAGGGAGGAAGGAAGACCTTAAGGCTCCAGAGGAAGTTGCCAAGCCAAGTCCAGCCCCTGTTCCCCGATGGCTGAGGCCAGATGAACCCTAGTGGTTCCTGTGATTGCTCAGAAGGCCGAGTTGGGGGCTTTCTGCTGTGTTGCTGGCAGTGGCCATCTTACCAAGGCTCCTGAGATTGTAACTTGGTGCTTCCTGGGAGCAGGAGCTATACTTACTTACTTTTCTCCTTGCTGAGACAAATACCCAACACCTAAAGTTAAAGGAGGAAAGGTTTATTTGAGCTCACAGTTGGTAAAGGTTCATAATCAGAAGGCTCCAAGGCAGGGTGGCATGACAGGCATCGCAGAGAAGAAACAGACCATGGCAAAGCAGGGCAGCAGAAAGCAGCCAGCAGTGAAACCACAAGCAGCAAGCAATGGCAGCAGCCTTCTCTCAGTCTGGGAGGAGTCGCACATGAAAAGCAGGAAATCATGTGGTAACAGAACCTCCACGCTGCTGACAGAGGAGGGTTTGTTTGGAGATGTCACACCCAGGGTGGGGCAGCCTTAATCCCAGCATCCATTATTAATCCCAGCATCACACACCCTAGATCCAGCCACCTCTGAAAAGCCCCACTATGACTGCCTCAGGTTTTGGGGGACATCTAGATACAAGCCATAACATATGCTGTGTGTATCTTTACTTTCTCAGTGCTGGGCCCAATAGCAGGCACATTTGTCGATACCCATAATGTGAGTGTGAAAGCACCCATGGCTGTGGCAGATGGTTGTGTTTGATGGTACCTGCAGCTGAGCTCAGGGCACAGCCCAGTCTGTCCCCCTGGGCCAGGTGCATGCTCCTCCCTGATACCTGTCACCATGCACGCTCCATCACATAGAATTGTTTTGTTAAGAACACAAACGCCCACCTCAAGCTGGCTGAAGCAGAAAAGTGAAGGCACTGGGATTTGGGGTTCTCTCCAGTTGTATGACAGCCCCAAAACTTCCTGGCTTAAGACAATAACCACTTTGCGATTTGGTCACCGTTTGGCAACTGGGCGGGGTTGGTGGAGCTCAGCTCCCCTCAGCTCTCTGCAGTCTTCAGGGAAGGCTAGAGCAGCTCAGAGCTGGTCACCTCATCTGGGCCCGGATTCTCATCTGAGGCCAGCGCAGCCTCCCTCAAAGCGTGGTGGCCTCGAGGTAGTTGGGCTCGTCACGTGCAGCAAAAGTGGGAGTGCTCGACCTTCTTTAGGCGTCAGCCTGGAGTTTGAGCACGATGAAGTCATCCTCTTGGCAAAGCAGGTCACCGAGCTGTTAGCTTGGAGCGCCGCCTCGTGGCCAAATTTTTGATTTAGGTTTAAAGCCCTCTCGTTCAGAAAAAAACAAAAAGAAAAAGGGTTGGGGATTTAGCTCAGTGGTTCCACCACTTGCCTCGCAAGCACAAGGACCCGAGTTCGATCCGCGGTACAAAAAAAAAAAAAAAAAAATTAAAAACTTCCCCATTCCATCTTTCATTCCATTCCCTGGCCCAAGATCCACCCCTGCCCCAGGACTTCAAAGCTGCCACTCTGCCTGTCGGGGAGCACTGAAGTCTACAGCAAAATCTAATCTGCTGCTGCGCCTGCTACCATCATCGTCTCCAGGTCTTGAATCCTGACCTCTACATCATACATCTTGATCTCTGGCTATCAATTTTGACCTCTCTAAAACCTAACCAGGGGCAGTCCCGACTCCAGGCAAGGAAAACACACAGAGCAGCAGTTCTAAGGACACATGGCCACATCAGGCGACAGGACTCCGTGTCCTTTCCTACAGACTCACACGCTCCCTGCCCCTCCCCCCCAATCCTAGACAGTGCCCAACTGGCACCTAGCTGGGCAGCAAGAACAGTATTTATTTATTTTTGGTACCTGGGATTGAACTCAGGACCTTGCACTTTCGAGGCAGGCGGGGCACCACTGAGCTACATCCCCAGCCCAAAAGGACAGTATTTAAATCTCCAGATTCTGGAGCCAATGTTGGACTCTACTGTTCACCTTTGAGCCACTTTCCAAACTGCTCTGTGTGTGTGTGTGTGTGTGTGTGTGTGTGTGTGTGTGTGACTTTTCCCGGCAGGGAGGGCCTGAGGACTTGGTCCCCCACCCAGTGGACTGACACTGATTTAGAATATCAATCACTCAACACCCAAGTCCTCCGAATGCCTTTAGCAAGAATTCTGTTGGGTCAGTTTACCAAGACTCCTCTTACCCTTGAGGTATGTGCTTAGAGTTTCCCATCCACTGACTGTCACACTGCTTGTTGGTGGTAGATTCAGCTGTTAGACCCATTTGTGTTGAATTCAGAATCAAGCTCAGTTTTACTAACTCTTGCCCCTATTGCAATGGTACTGAATGAAGTCTGTCTTTATTGCCTTAAAAAAATAGAACATCGGTCACTGCTGTTCATCCCTAGGCGAAGTATGTGGATGTAGTCAATTCTTTATCTGAAGCCTGGCCTTCAGTGAATGCGCCTCCAGCCACAGTTGTCCTCTGTATTGACTTCTTCGAGGGCCCAGCCCTGCATGACTGCCTATATTTCTAATTAGCTTAGCTGTCCACAATACTAGTACCCAGATGGGCAAGAAAGCCAGTGTCAAAATAAAAAAGAAAGCCAGTGTCATTTTTTGTTTGTTTTTTTGAGGCAGAGTCTCACTATGTAGCCCAGACTGCCCTCCAACTCTCAGGGATCCTCCTGCCTCAGCCTTCCGAGTGCTCAGATGAGAGGCATGCACCGCCAAGCCTGGCTCTGAAAGCCAGTGTCTTGTAACTGCTTCCCTCCTGGGTCCTCAAGTGTGTCCAGGAAGGGTGTACGCATGCACACCAGCATGGGCCTGGGCACATAGATGAGGGGATCCCATGTGGCATCCTTCCAGGACCTCTTGCCTGGACTTT